CCTGAGGCATTTTTCCCTTTTGTTGCTACATCCTATGGTCTCTTGTCCAGGATTAGGAGGAAGATTCACCTGATTAGCATACATCACAGTATTCAGAGGTTTCCTCTTGGACTTGAAATATGTAGGGTATCCAACTATTTTGTAGCACTGCTCCCTAGAATGATCCTTGCACAGTGTTCACATTGTAGAAAATTCTTTCTAGTTTTGTAGTTTCCTCCTGAAGAACTAGTACTGTTGTTGTATCCTCCACCATGATCACCAACACCTGAGAATGAACTAGTGGAATGTACTTTTGATTATCCTGCTCAATTGTTGTATGTGTGATTTCTGTGAGTGTACATTGTTATGCCTTCTATTAGCCCTGAACCACTAGAACTATTGCTTGCCAGATTTCTCTAACTCTCTTGATCAATCAGCATTGCATAAGCTTTGTTTAGTGAAGGAATTGGACTCATCATTAAGATCGGACTTCTAGGAGGGGAATATGACTCATTTAATCCCATTAGAAACTGTAGAAGCCTTTGATAGTCGCAGTGTTCACCAAATTTGTTTGACTCCGGACATGGAAACTTGGACATGGCATGATAACATCATACTCATCCTAAAGGTCTCTTAGCCTTGAGTGATAGTCAGGAATTGACATTGTACCCTGAGTGAGAGAATGAATCTCCCTATGTAACTGAAATATTCAGGATCCATTCACAGTGTCAAACATTTCTCTTAGATCTAGCCACACATTTTTAGCATCAAATGCATACACTACAGAACTACGAAGACCAGGCCTCACTACATTCATAATCCAACTCAAAACTACTGCATTACACCTTTCTCACTGATCATGTAACTTAGGCTCAAACATAGATTTAGGGAATCTTCTATCTACAAATCCTAGTTTACTTCGACCTACTAGACCAATTTGAAATGACCTACTCCATAAAGCATAGTTCTCTGATCATGGTAATTGCAGAGAGATTAGAGAACTACCTGGAGTTTCTGTATGTTAAAGAAACAAAGGATGATTGTGATCAATGATATGAAATGTGGTTGTGTGAGAGCCACTTCCAGTATTGGTGGCTTGAATCTCAGCTCTTTCCATTGTACCTCCAGTCATGAGATCCTAAAGCTTTCTTCTAATTCACCTGTTTTTGAAAAGGTGAGATCGAAATACCTAGGTATTCTCTATGATCGTGGGCTCTGATACCATGAAAGCTTCATAGTTTGTTCTTAAACACCATAGCTAGAAGAGGAAGAAAAGAGAGTTGTATTAATTGTATTTTTATGACTTGATACAATGTATCTGTACATACAGAGGTGTATCTAGAGGGGGTGTCGTGGGTTCACGTGAACCCATGCTCCCTTCTCTAGATCAAATATTGTAGTGTTATATTTTTTTAAAAATATTTAAATATAGATGTGTGAACCCATGTTTAAAATATCATATAAAAATGCGATGATGATTGAGTGTACTTTTCTAAGTGAGAGATAGAAATTTAAATCTTATATCTATCTTGTTTCTTTGAGTAACACTTTTTCAAGTGGTTATCAGTTACACTTTTGTCGTTTCAACTAATTTTTCTTTTGTTTTTTTCCTCTATTCTTTCAAAATTTTCAAGTGTGTTACATTGAGAATTCCTAAAAAATTTAGCATTGTAAGTTTTTTATATAATTAAATCAAATGTGTATATTAAAATTTAAAACCAGTAGTATTATATATTTTGGATCTATAATTTTTAAACTTTAATGATTCATATTACAAACTAAAAGTCAAATCGATCAATTTATATTAGAGATACATTTTTTCGTAATCGTGCACCCATCTAGCCGAGATCCTGGATATGCCTCTGTACATAGTGTGTAGTTATACTACAAACAGGTGCAGTAACTAACTCATGTCAACAAGGTATCTTTTGAACTAACTTCTTACTAATTGGTTAACTAACTCAACCATATAGCTTGCTTAACTATCTTCATTAGTTAACAACATTTTAGGCATATCCGTCGTTGGATCATCAGAGAAGAAAGAATGACATGACATGACATATTAAAATATACATAATGAAGTTGTCTTGCAATATTTGGAGTCATATTAGTAAGTGTAACTAGTACCATTTATAACAAGGCTGAATACAGCTCACTCCATTTATACACACCTCAGTCACTTGCCACAAAGCAAAACAAAGTTGATACCATCTGGCATCTGGTACACCATTACATTGGCACGCAATAATCTACATTTCCCACTTCACCCAAAAAATAAGTGATTTTACGTTTCAATTTTTATAACGCACTCAATTACTTTGATATGATACTGATTGAGTTATACGTGTATTAAATATGAGTGAATCAAATATTTTATTTAACTTGTTTTCAACTCGTTTAATATCTGATTCGATCCACTCAATTTATGACGTTGTTCGTTTAATGCGACCACGCTAGCACATCAAAAGAGCTATTGGAACATTAATAAATAATCAAGAGAAGTGAATTACTATTCGAATTCATGGATATCTTATAAATCAAGCTACAATGTAAGAACTTATACGCACAAGGAAAGATAATTACTCTTTTATTATTAATCAGGTCTCAAGTCTCAGGTTCAAGTTCTACTAAATATAAATATAAAAAAATTATGAAGGTAAATTTTTGAGCTATTATTGGATATCAATATATAGTAATTTGACCTGAACATTTGTGTACTTTTTGTCTTAAAATAAAACTTGTGGAAGGAGGGAAAGAAACAAAGAGAAGAAATATACGAAAATCTGGATGGTCCCCAAATTTTTAACTAAATGAATTCAGGGTCCATAAGTCTTTTAATATTTATCTTTATATTTAGTTTTATAAAAAAAGAAAAAATGGTCTGATATACCTTTCAACTTTGACATTTGACGTTGATATACTTTTTCGTTAGGAAAGTGACTCCTATATGTATACCATTTTCCCTAATAAATTGATAACGAACTTATTTCTTTTTCCATTCTCCTCTATGAATAGAAAAAAGGAAAAGTTGGAAAATGAAAGGGAAAAATCATATTCAAAGTACTTCTAATTAGTTGAACTTTCCTTTAATCCTTCAAATTCAATCATCAGATAATGATTTATGAAATCTTGAATAACAATATTTAGGGGTCTATTTAAGTCAAAAAGAAAAAAAAAAAACTTAAGAGTATGTGACACATAAAACATAAATTAAAGAAAGCTCATACCTTTTCCTCCCCCCAAACACACACCTTTTTCTTTCATAAAAGATATATACTATCCGTTATGAAGTTCAATTTTTCTATCTTCAAAATAGGCAATCGAGTTTAAATTTGAACTAAATTAAGTCAAGTTATAAGTATTATGTTTTGGTTTTTTAGAGTTAAATTATATGAATTTTGATTTATATATACTTTCATCATATTGATATGAAAAGAATGTCTGAATTTTAATTTTTAAAATATTGAATTAATATGATTCAACTCAACTTCAATTATTTTAAGACAAAGGAAGTATCACAAAAAGATAATTGAAATATTTAAGAACAAAAAGAAAAGGTTTTGTAGTGTTTGGTCTATAAATTATTGGTAAATTCTAATTTTGGTCGTTGTGATATCTGAGTAAACACATTTAACTTTCAATTATTTGAAATATGCACTTTTGATTTATTTACTTGTGAATACCACTGAATTTTTAGAATTATTAAACAGTTTCACCATTTAATTACCCATATATTTTGTTAAGTAAGATATTATTGCTTCATATTCGAGGATAATATTATCAAAAATAAAAAAAAGCGAGGAAAGAATATAATGAGACCTCAACTTTGTAATATTGCAGTTATAACAATTGTACTAATTTATTTAAAAATTAACCATAACAAATCTAAGAGAAGATCTCTTCCACCAAACTAGAGTACGTTTTTATTCAATTTTCTGACCGTTCTACTCCATAATAATAATAATCATTATAAAGCTTTTTTTCCTTTCCACAGCCGTAAATGAATTTCACCAAGTAAAGTTGGTTATTTTTAAAAAATAAATTATTTTGTCTGTTTATTATAGTAGTCTAACTTTAATTAATGTAACGCAATATAGAACAGTTTGATATCGACGACTGCATAATGAATGGAATAGTAAATATATATAGACACACATATTTAGTATGCATTTGGCCATACAATATTATATCACGATATGAAATCATGAAATGAAATCAACGTTTCAAAAGGTAATCAAACAGGATATTAAAATTCTCCATGTAGCTGTTGGTAATAGCAAAAATTTAGAGATGAGTGTCTTAGCAGTTGGGTCCCAACAGTACAGTAATGTGTAGGTGATGGGAGTAAAGGAATCAGCCCACCAACATTTGTGAAGTCTGAATCAAACATTTACTACCTCTCCTCTCCTGCACGGACCCGACACTATAAGCAAACTTATTAATTTTAATGACCGTTTGGTGATATGTATAAGAATAGTATCGAATAGAATATATTAGTTATATTGAGATTAAAATTAATACTGATAAAATAAATTAGATAACACTCGAATACATATTAAGTACTGATCTTCAATTCTAATTTTTTAATTTAGTATATCTAGGATCATGTCTACGATGATACCGCTAACTAATTATTTTAATATATTTAGGTAGGTGGATACTTTGTTGGTGTTGGTGGTGGTGGTTATACTCTCTGTATTCTGCATTAACTCACTCTTGTAAACTCTTTATTTAGTCACCCACTACCTTAAATTTTGAGGGTCCCTTATATCTCCTCTATTTTCTCTATATAATAAATATTCCCTATGATTTGAAGTACCTCTTTGCCACCTGCTTCCTTCCTTTCTCTTTAACCAACATCTAGCTTTAGGCTTAGCTCCTAAGTGTGACAATAACAAAAGGTAAAAGACAACAACAAGTGTTTTTTTTTTTGTGACTAGATAATATTAGACTTGCTAATTAGATGAAAAAGACATAGTCAAACAAGAATAGAAGTTGAGCTTTTATATAGCAAAGGAACAAATAAAAATATGATCATGATAATTGATAACAATCTTTTTACCAAAACAAAAATAACTTGTGTAGCCCATAATTTTACACATGGTTTCCCCCTCTTCACTCATAAAAAAAAAAAAAACACACACACACACACACATGTTGTAGCCAACAATGGGGAGCACACCCAATCCACTACGTTTTGTTCTTTCATAATCTGAGAAATCGGGTCGGGTTATTCGGATAATCTGTTTCTAATAAAATGTTTCGGAGAAAATAAGTTGCATAAATGAGAAAGAAAATATTTTGAGTATGTTTTTTCTTTGTATTTTGTGGAGTTGTACAGGTAAATACTGATGAACATTGAATAGAGCTAAAAACAAACAAGGGTAAAACCGTACTTCCACTTTTTTTCTATGATCACAGTTGTAGAGGACGAAATGGTCAAATGTCAACGGTCACTGAAATCAGCGATTGGGATTGAACCTCCCGAAATCGGCAAGCTTTCTCGATCTGTTCTTGCAAAACGACGTCGCTGTGGAGAGCTGAGGTTTTGCTGTGACTCTAATCTCGCCGGAAAACACCATTTCAGGCGGCATTCCTTTTTGGTTCCAATTTCTGCTAGGGCTTGCCCGCACTAACGGACTCAAGCAAAACGCCATTCCACTGAGGTTCCGATTATGACTTGATTTCCCTCGTCGGCCAGGTTGAGCTGCTGGTGTTCTTCTCGGAGTTTGTTTCCAACCCTGCGATGACTCAGATGAGTACCCGCTCGATCCGCCGCAATGCTCGTCTTCCTCGTCGTCTGAATGTCGAGCAGGCGACATTCCTCGATCACGATTACGATGCGTCCTCCGATGACCTCCGATCGTCGATTCTTCTAAAGAAAACGTTCGTGACTGCTTTTTCCGGCGACCAGAGAGAATCGTGGAGAACCACGACGGTGAAGAAGACGAGGCCGGGCAAGCATCACCCGAATTCGAAACCCTACGATCCAAATCAAGTTTATCCGACTTGGATCTAAACAAACCAGAGAAAAATCTAAAATAACTTTTCTTCTTATAAGGCCCAGCAGCAATTACCGTACCGTTGGGTCCTACTTGTGGAGTACTGTAAAATCTTTGATCTCGAATAGACGGAAGCGAATTATGCTGGAATTGCCACGGCGTCGTATCAGATTTCCGGCGAGATATATACGGTGAAACGGAGCGAGGAAACATCAACGGCGGAGGATTTCCATCGGATTTCCTGTGATCCTCCTGAAACAACTGCTGCTGTACTTGAGCCCGTGCTTGAGCTTGAGCCTGGGCCTGTGCAGCCATAACCGCAAATAGCCTTTCCCGGAGACATGAAGCGCAGACCCCGACGCTGCTACTCAGGTCAGAAAGATGTTTTTTACACCTCATTTATCCAAATCGATTGAATTCTTTTGTTTAGCTGAATTAGTATGAAAAAATCAGAAAGAGAAAAGGGAAATTGAAGGAAGAAGAAGTAACATTTGTGGAGAAGTGAATTTGTCTTCTTCTTTTAGTGAGAGAAAATTGGGTGTAAGAGAGAGGGGTGCAGGCTTTTATGGGTAAAGAAAATGAGAGCTTTTATCTTTTTCTTTATTCTTATAGGTTCAAATTAAAGGGAAGAGAGAGAGAGTGTGTGAGACCTCAACAATGATGCCACACTAATATTTAAACACAAATTTACACTCTCTCCTTATTAATTAGTAATTAAGAATAAGAAAAACAATAAAATACTCATTGCCAACATTTAATGAAAACATCATTTTAGGACTTAGAGGTAAGTAAGTATTAATCAAATTTTATTTAATATGAAACTCTTAAATCCTTTTACAACTATTTTGTAATACTTCTCCTATTTTAATTCGCTTCACTTATTCTGACTTGATAAGTTATCCAAAGAAAATTTTAAAAAATAATTAATCTTCTGATGTTAAATTAAAGCTATGCTAAATATATCAAAATGTTTTTAAAGTTTATATATACATGTCATATAAAAAGTTAAAATTAAAAAATTACTAATAATGAAAAATGCTCAAGTCAAATAAATTGAAATAAAGGGAGTTTGGATTTATTTATTTCAAGTGATTTTAACCTAAAATAGTTTTTAAGCATCTTTGAAGTGTTTGAATAAATTTAAAAAGTCTTTATAAGCACTTCATTTATAATTAAAATGATAAAAACAAGTCAAAAGTCCTATGACATAATTTCTAACTTATGACTTTTGATCAACAATCAATCCAAACAAACTCTTAATTATGAGCTACTTTCTCCGGTCTAAATTTTACCACTGTTGATTTAAGATATTCTTTTTTGAGGAAAAATAATAAATATTTATAGCTCATTGAAAATTGACTCTTATTATTTTAATTAATGAATTATGTTAACTAAGTAAACCATTTAAAGGATATAAAGTATAGTTTAGACAAATATTTTCAAAATAATGTTATTAAATATTTTTATCATGGTGCCAAAAATAGTATTTTGATGACTAATTTTTTTAAAGTTGATGACGGAGTGCTCTTGTCATGGTTTTACTTATTTATTTTTCTTATTATTTTATATTACTTTAATAATCAACAATCTATTGATATTTTTATGAATGGTCAACTTTACCTTTGATAGCACTCTATCCATCTCATCATATTTATACTCCAAAACACTTATGATTAAAGAAATTTTCAACTCTACTTGAAAATAACGGTGGTTATTTTTAAGATAAGTATTATCATTTATCCATACCAATTAAGTCAAAAAAAAAAAAAAAAAATTGGGTCCGATTCCCATTTATTTGCCTAAATGGGAAATACTAAGTAATTCATTTTTTTTCTAAGAAATATCATAATATCACCTCTAGAAAATCTTAAGAACTTTATAACCTTGTCTTGATTGCAAGTTTGATTCCTTTCTTATCCGTTTTGGCAAAGATCAACGGTAGAATTTGCAAGACATTCTAAATCTAAAAATTCAAATCAAATTTAATTTTGGGTGAAATTTCTTCTTTATAATAAAATATCTACGAAAATCATGTTATCATTAATCATAAAAAAAAATCTCATTGTGTGGAACAAATTTTAATACATATAAAAAGTAAACTCCAATCACAAACAAAAATATTTTATTAATAAACATGCGGATACAATTTTATTTTCTACCTTGATTTATCTCTCTTAATTATCTTGTTTCGAGGAGTGTTAAGTTAGAGTGAGAGCCTGATTGACATTGTTGTTAGAGGCTAGAATACTTATTTTGAGAGAAACAATATTTTTGTTGAAAAATTAAGTGTTTGACAAATTAGTAAAAGTCCTTTTAACTGAATGCATAAACAGATTTTTCTGTTGTTGGGAAGATGGTAAAAATTTCTGTTTTTTAAAAAAAATAGCAGCGGAAACAAAATGTTATTTTTCTCAGGACTAAAATATCCTTTTCACATATACATATTTATCGATATATTTTTTATTAATTAATTTGCATATTTCATAAGTTCGGTTAAATTTCATTTAAGAATTTTATTTTTTATTTTTATATAATATATAATTTATTTTACGTTTATATATTTTTATTTTATATATTATCAGTATTATTTTAAGTATTATTTTGCAAAATTAGAAAAAAGGTAACAACAATATTTTTACAATATTAGAAAAAAATACAATTAAAGATTTCAACCTCCCCAAAAAAGTATAATATTGATTGAAAATTTTAACATGTACATTATAATTTAATAAAAAAAAATTAATTGACTTTTTTTATAATAAATATTTAAAATAGTTTCTCTCAATAAAATAAATTTAATATTAAAAGTACATTAATAGTTGTCTTTTTTTGTAATTTGATTCTCAAAAACACATTTTTAAAAAGATTAGTCAAATGCAATATGCTTATAAAAAACATTTTAAAATGAATTAGTCAAGCACAAATTGCATTTTTTCAAAAGCATTTTTCTGAAAAGTCATTATTAAAAAACTCTTCTAAAAACAAGTTGTTTTTTAGCAGCAATGTCAAACATGCTCTGAGTCAAAGTACACATTGATTGAGGAATTGATTGGTGGTCTGCTTGTATAGATTTGAGTCAAAGCCCACGAGCTAGTTTGGGGTTGAATTAGGCATATGTGTCATATATTTACATGTTAGTTACGTATTTCTCAAACGTATGCTGATTTGGACCTCCTTGAAATTTATTGGGAATATATTACCATCTATATATATAAATAAACTAGGATTTAAGATAAAATAGTCTCCAAATAACTTGACTAAAATTAGACTCGTTTTGTAGAGTCCTACGAAATTTCGATAATTAATCAACGAAATGTGGGCTTTGCGTCATGATCATATATTCCAAATGTGTTTCATGTTTCATTGCTAAGTTAACTTACTTGCACGCAACTGAGAGCATTCAAAGCAATTCATATTTTCAAGAGTTCAAAGCTCTAAGTTTTGGTCCTTGTAATTATTGTTTTGTTTCATCAAGTCCAATTCTAATTCAATTGCAGTATGATATGGAGTTGTAAGTATTTTTTTTTTTTAATTTAGAAGCATTCCTAGGTTACATTGGGAATTGAATATTTTGTTTCTTAAATGAATGTACCACTTGAGCTAATAACCAATCATAATCAACTATACTATAAATCTATAATTGTAAGTGCACAATAGAACTCTATTATTTGCCAATTAGAACTTCCATTACTTAATTGAGTTGGTGCAACATGTAATATCTCCTAAGAAGGGTTAAAGATCAATTTCCTCTACCAACGTCTTCTAGTCAAGTTCGTCGCATTGGACCAATCTAATACGATTTACATCTCAAAATAGCTATTATGGATTTCCTTGGGTCCAAAAAAAATAAAACGTTCATGTCATAGATTCATTATCTTTTGGACAATGAAGCATGACTAGTAAAGGAATACTCTTCATACTAGTGTTTATGGTATATCACATCAAATGCCCTTATGTACAATAAGTAGCATCCAAAAATGAACCAAGCATCCCGATAAAATGAATGCTGCAAGGACTGACTAACTTTTAACTTTATGTGCTATGTTAATCAATATGAAGGACTATTTGTTGGAAATATACTTGACAAGGATATTTGATGTAACCATACAAAAAAAAAAAAAAAAAAAAAAAAGGAAGGATCCTCCTAAATTATCATATGCATGTATATAATATTGGGGATCCATTGATTGATTGTAGAAAGCATATAGTTTAGCTTGCTCATGAGGTGACAAATCAAATAGTTGCACCTTCATGAAAATGCCTATGATCTGATACCAATACTTAAGAAAGAAGCACTTAGAATGGACAGTTCCATCTTTATTTATGACAAGAAAAATAGATATATATATATAAACACATGAATATAAATCATTTTTGTAAGGCTCAAGCGGTCAATCCCTATCCCATTTTAATTATTTTACTACTTTTGATTTAGTACCGTTAAACAATATTAGCGACTCTACTGTTATGCTAACCTATAATGTGTTGTTCATACTTAGAACAAAAACTTTGAAGAACTTGATAAGAAACAATAAAGTTTAAAGAGTATTTTCAAAACTATAAAATTAAAACCAGTAGAGAAAATAGAATAAGAAACATATTAGAATAATATTAAAAAATTCTCTAGAAGAAAATCGAGTCCACTGAATGTATAGTGTTTCCTTAAGGAAATTATTCCCCTCAAGTACCTGAGATTAATGGAATATATCCTCTTAGGATAAAACAATCTTACTCACCGGTGTATCGTCAGTGAATCACTCAACGACACTAAATTAAAGTACACTTAAAATACTAGATTTAGTAGTAGAAGAAAAGGTTCAGAAAATTGGTTGTTCCAAAATGAGAGGAAATCTCTCTATTTATAGATAAGGAAGGGTAGTGTGAACATGGAGTTTATTGTGTCCTATCGAAAATGTCACAACCCTTTGGAAAAGTTACAATTCTTCGGAAAAGGTCACAACCTTTCATACAAGTCACAACTTTTCATAGAAGTTACAACTCTTCATAAAAATTGCTAACTCTTCATTTTTCATTCATACCTTTTAAAACCCAATATAATGATGCATATTATTAGATTAATTTATAAGTAATTCTGTTTACAAAAAAAAAAAAACTTTAAAATGCAATGAACCCAGAACATAAATGTCTCTATATAATATAATGCATGTGTAGTGGAACATATTATACAAAAGCATGGCTATTTGATAGTACATTCCGCTGTTCATTATATTCTAATTTTTCTTTTTGCTGCAAAAAATATTTATATTACATAGAGCTTTACTAATAAATAACATTATACATTATCTACAAGGAAATTACTGTTTAAATTTGCCAATCATAATAGTATAAAACATGTCATGACTCATGAGGAGTTTTTTTCAAGGGAAACTTATCCATATGTATCATTCGATCAAATATCATAA